TTCCTTTTTTTTTTTTTTGTTTGTTTTTTGGGAAAGAGTCAAAATTCCCGGCCGGAGTCGCCGCTCCTAGAAAAGATTCTCCTCGAAAATGGCCAGGAGGTCGCTCTGGAAGTTCATGTCGATCGTCGCCGCCATCTGCAAAAAACGGGAAAATCGGGAAAAAATTCCGGGAAAAAAATTCCCACATTTTGGGGGAAATTTCTGGGGGTTTTGGGGGATTTTTTTGGGGGGTTTTATTGTGGATTCTTGGGTTTTTTTGGTGGATTTTTTGAGGATTTTATTTTTTTATTCTTTGGGTTTTTGTTGATTTTTTGGGTTTTTTTTTTTGATTTTTCGGGTTATTTTTGTGGATTTTCCCACGATTTCTCCCTGATTTTTGGGGATTTTTTTTGGGGGGATATTCCCTTGATTCCCCCCCATTTTTAGGGACTCTTTTTCAGGTACATCCCAACAATTTTAACTCATTTTTTGGGAACGTCCCGACTATTTTAACCCATTTTTTGGGCTATTTTTGGGGACCCCCCCTGGTAACTTTAACCCATTTTTGGTGACCCCTTTTGGGGTTTTTTTAGGGATAATCCCACGATTTCCCCCCGTTTTTGGGGGCCAATTTCAGGTACATCCCAACCATTTTAACCCATTTTTGGGGCTGGTTTTTTTGGCTATTTTTGGGGACCCCCCGGTGCCTTGAACCCATTTTTGGGGACCCTTTTTTGGGTACATCCCAATTATTTTAACCCATTTTTTGGGGCTATTTTTGGGGATCCCCGTGGTGCCTTGAACCCATTTTTGGGGACCCCCCTGGTAACTTTAACCCATTTTTGGTGATCCTTTTTCGGGTACATCCTGACCATTTTAACCCATTTTTTTGGACTATTTTTGGGGACCCCCCCGGTGACTTTGACCCATTTTTGGGGACCCTTTTTCAGGTACTTCTCAACAATTTTAACCCATTTTTTGGGGCTATTTTTGAGGACCTCCGTGGTGCCTTTAACCCATTTCTGGCTATTTTTGGGGACCCCCCCAGTGACTTTGACCCATTTTTTCGGGACCCTTTTTCGGGTACATCCCGACCATTTTAACCCATTTCTGGGGCTATTTTTTTTGGCTATTTTTGGGACCCCCCTGGTGCCTTTAACCCATTTTTTGACTATTTTTGGGACCCCCCTGGTGCCTTTAACCCATTTTTTGACTATTTTTGGGACCCCCCTGGTGCCTTTAACCCATTTTTTGGCCCCCTGGCGCCTTGAACCCATTTTTGGGGACATTTTCGAGCCCCCCTGGTGCCTTTAACCCATTTTTTGACTATTTTTGGGATCTCCTGGTGCCTTGAACCCATTTTTGGGGACATTTTTTAACCCTCTGATGCCTTTAGCCCATTTTTGGGACATTTTTGGGTCCCCCCCAGTGCCTTTAACCCATTTTTGGGGACATTTTCTAACCCCCTCGTGCCTTTAACCCATTTTGTGACTATTTTTGGGACCCCCCGGTGCCTTTAACCCCTTTTTGGCACATTTTTGGTACCCCCCGGTGCCTTTAACCCCTTTTTTGGGACATTTTGGTGACCCCCCAGTGCCTTTAACCCATTTTTTGGCACATTTTTGGGCCCCCCCGGTGCCTTTAACCCCTTTTTGGCACATTTTGGTGACCCCCAGTGCCTTTAACCCCTTTTTGGCACATTTTGGTGACCCCCCGGTGCCTTTAACCCATTTTGTGACTATTTTTGGTACCCCCCGGTGCGTTTAACCCATTTTTGGTTCATTTATTAACCCCCCGGTGCCTTTTAACCCCTTTTTGGCACATTTTTAGTGACCCCCCGGTGCCTTTAACCCATTTTTGGTTCATTTTTTAACCCCCCGGTGCCTTGAACCCCTTTTTGGCACATTTTTGGTACCCCCTGGTGTCTTTAACCTCTTTTTGGCACATTTTTTGTGACCCCCGGTGCCTTTAACCCATTTTTTGACCATTTTTGGTACCCCCCGGTGCGTTTAACCCCTTTTTGGCACATTTTTTGTGACCCCCGGTGCCTTTAACCCATTTTTTGACCATTTTGGTGACCCCCCGGTGTGTTTAACCCCTTTTTGACCATTTTGGTGACCCCCCGGTGTNGTGACCCCCCGGTGTGTTTAACCCCTTTTTGACCATTTTGGTGACCCCCCGGTGTATTTAACCCCTTTTTGACCATTTTGGTGACCCCCCGGTGTCTCACCGCCTCGCGCCGCCGCCGCTCCTGCTCCCTCTTGCGCGCCAGCTCGCGCTGCTGGTCCAGCAGCGCCTGCGAGCCGGGCGGGGCCGGCGGCTGCGGCGCCGCCGAGGCGGCCGACACCGGCACCGCCACCGGCACCGGCACCGGCACCGGCACCGGCGCCGCCGCGCCCGGCCCCGGCGGCGGCTGCTGCTCCTGGCGCCGCCGCGCCTCCTCGTGCACCCGGCGCGCCTGCTCCAGCGCCTCCTCGTCCTCCCGGCTCCTGGGGGGGACAGAGTGACCAGAGTGACCAGTGAGTGACCACAGAGTGACCACTGAGTGACCAGTGAGTGACCAGTGAGTGACCACAGAGTGACCACAGAGTGACCAGAGTGACCAGAGTGACCATGAGTGACCAGAGTGACCAGTGAGTGACCACAGAGTGACCACAGTGACCATGAGTGACCCAGACCCTGCACTGCTCCAGCGCCTCCTCGTCCTCCCGGCTCCTGGGGGGACAGAGTGACCAGGAGTGACCATGAGTGACCATTGAGTGACCAGTGAGTGACCACAGTGACCACAGAGTGACCATGAGTGACCATGAGTGACCACTGAGTGACCACAGAGTGACCACAGTGACCAGAGTGACCACTGAGTGACCCAGACCCTGCACTGCTCCAGCGCCTCCTCGTCCTCCCGGCTCCTGGGGAGTGACCACAGTGACCAGTGAGTGACCAGTGAGTGACCAGTGAGTGACCATGAGTGACCACAGAGTGACCACAGTGACCAGTGAGTGACCATGAGTGACCACAGTGACCAGAGTGACCAGTGAGTGACCATGAGTGACCACAGTGACCAGAGTGACCAGTGAGTGACCATGAGTGACCCAGACCCTGCACTGCTCCAGCGCCTCCTCGTCCTCCCGGCTCCTGGGGGGGACAGAGTGACCATGAGTGACCACAGTGACCATGAGTGACCATGAGTGACCACAGTGACCATGAGTGACCATGAGTGACCATGAGTGACCAGTGAGTGACCAGAGTGACCAGAGTGACCAGTGAGTGACCATGAGTGACCAGAGTGACCAGTGAGTGACCATGAGTGACCATGAGTGACCAGTGAGTGACCATGAGTGACCAGAGTGACCAGTGAGTGACCAGTGAGTGACCAGAGTGACCAGTGAGTGACCATGAGTGACCAGAGTGACCAGTGAGTGACCATGAGTGACCATGAGTGACCAGAGTGACCAGTGAGTGACCAGAGTGACCATGAGTGACCCTGAGCCCTGCACTGCTCCAGCGCCTCCTCGTCCTCCCGGCTCCTGGGGGGACAGAGTGACCAGTGAGTGACCAGTGAGTGACCAGTGAGTGACCCTGAGTGACCAGTGAGTGACCAGTGAGTGACCAGTGAGTGACCCTGAGTGACCATGAGTGACCAGTGAGTGACCCTGAGTGACCATGAGTGACCACAGAGTGACCAGTGAGTGACCACAGTGACCATGAGTGACCACTGAGTGACCACAGTGACCAGTGAGTGACCCTGAGTGACCAGTGAGTGACCAGTGAGTGACCATGAGTGACCATGAGTGACCCTGAGTGACCAGAGTGACCCCGAGTGACCACTGAGTGACCAGAGTGACCATTAAGTGACCTTGAGTGACCCTGAGTGACCCGAGTGACCACAGTGACCAGGAGTGACCACAGTGTCCGTGGTGCTCCCTGTGGTGTTTCTGGTGCTCTTGGTGATGGGTCTGGTGTTCTTGGTGATTTGCGGTGTTCCTGGTGGTGGTTGTGGTGGATCTGATGATGGTTCTGGTGTCTCTGGTGGTGTTTATGGTGTTCCTGGTGGTGTCTGTGGTGGATCTGATGATGGTTCTGGTGTCTCTGGTGGTGTTTATGGTGTTCCTGGTGTCTCTGGTGGTGTTTATGGTGCTCCTGGTGGTGTTCCTGGTGGTGTTTGTGGTGGATCTGATGATGGTTCTGGTGTCTCTGGTGGTGTTTAGAGTGTTCCTGGTGTCTCTGGTGGTGTGTGTGATGTCCCTGGTGATGGTTCTGGTGTCTCTGGTGGTGTCATGGTGGATCTGATGATGGTTCTGGTGGTGTTTGAGGTGTCTCTGGTGATGTATGTGGTGGATCTGATGATGGTTCTGGTGTCTCTGGTGGTGGTGGTGGTGTCTCTGGTGTTTATGGTGGATCTAATGATGTTCCTGCTGGTGTTTCTGGTGTCTCTGGAGGTGTCTGTGATGTTTCTGGTGATGTTGGTGGTGTCTCTGGTGGTTATAGTGGATCTGATGATGTTCCTGGTGGTGCCTGTGGTGTCCCTGGTGGTGTTTCTCGTGTCTCTGGAGATGTTTCTGGTGTCTGTGGTGGTTATGGTGGATCTGATGATGTTCCTGGTGGTGTCTGTGGTGTCTCTGGTGGTTACGGTGGATCTGTGATGGTTTTGGTGGTGTTTGTGGTGTCACTGGTGCTGTTTGTGGTGGATCTGATGACGGTTATGGTGTCTCTGGTGGTGTTTATGGTGTTCCTGGTGTTGTTTTTGGTGGTTATGGTGGATCTGTGATGGTTCTGGTGGTGTTTCTGGTGTCTCTGGAGGTGTCTGTGGTGTCTCTGGTGGTGTTGGTGGTGTCTCTGGTGGTTATAGTGGATCTGATGATGTTCCTGGTGGTGCCTGTGGTGTCCCTGGTGGTGTTTCTGGTGTCCCTGCTGGTGTTTCTGGTGCCTCTGGAGGTGTCTGTGGTGTCTCTGGTGGTGTTTCTGGTGTTCCTGGTGTTTGTGGTGGATCTGATGATGTCCCTGCTGGTGTTTCTTGTGTTTCTGGTGTCCCTGCTGGTGTTTCTGGTGTCTCTGGAGGTGTCTCTGGTGTCTCTGGAGGTGTCTGTGATGTCTCTGGAGGTGTCTGTGGTGTCTCTGGTGTCTCTGGAGGTGTCTGTGGTGTCTCTGGTGGTGTTTCTGGTGTTCCTGGTGTTTCTGGTGGATCTGATGATGTCCCTGCTGGTGTTTCTGGTGTCTCTGGAGGTGTCTCCTCTGTTCCTGCCGCTGCCCGCGCCGGTGGCCGCGCCGGTGGCCGTGTCCTCACCTCATCCTCTCCTGCTCCCGGCGCAGCCGCTCCTTCTCGCGCTCCACCTGCTCGGCCTGGGCCTTGAGGGCCTTCTCGCGCTCCTCCTTCTCGCGCGCCGCCCGCTTGAACTGCTCGAAGGAGTCGCTGGAGGACTTGGCCGCCGCCGCCGGCGCCGCCGGGTGCTTCTGCACCAGCGAGGCCCACGAGCCCATGTTCTTGATCTTCAGGTCCTGCCGGGAGACGCGCGTCACCGCCGGGCCACCGCGAGGTCTGGGATCCACCAGGATCCACCAGAGCCGTGGTGGCCTCCAATGGCTTCGTCCCGAGGAACCGGAGCCAACCCTGGAGGTCCCTCGGCCTGGTGGGATCTCAGGGGGTTCCTCAGCCTGGTGGTTGGATCTTAGAGAACCTCCTGAGACCCAGCCCTGGAGATCCCTTGGCCTGGTGGGATCTCAGGAGGTTCTCCCAGATCAAATCCTGGACTTCCCTCAGCCTGGTGGGATCACAGGAGCTTCTCCCAGATCCAACCCTGGAGCTCTCCAGGTCCCTCAGCCTGGGATCTCAGGAGGTTCTCAGAGACCCAATCCTGAAGGTCCCTTGGCCTGGTGGGATCTCAGGAGGTTCTCCCAGATCCAATCCTGGAGGTCCCTTGGCCTGGTGGGATCTCAGGGTGTTCCTCAACCTGGTGGTTGGATCTCAAGAGAACCTCCTGAGACCCAACCCTGGAGATCCCTTGGCCTGGTGGGATCTCAGGAGGTTCTCCCAGATCAAATCCTGGAGTTCCCTCGGCTTGGTGGGATCTCAGGGGGTTCCTCAGCCTGGTGGGATCACAGGAGCTTCTCCCAGATCCAACCCTGGAGCTCTCCAGGTCCCTCAGCCTGGGATCTCAGGAGGTTCTCAGAGACCCAATCCTGGAGTTCCCTTGGCCTGGTGGGATCTCAGGGGGTTCCTCAACCTGGTGGTTGGATCTCAAGAGAACCTCCTGAGACCCAACCCTGGAGATCCCTTGGCCTGGTGGGATCTCAGGAGCTTCTCCCAGATCCAACCCTGGAGTTCCTCAGGTCCCTCAGCCTGGTGGGACCTCAGGAACTTCTCCAAGATCCCGTTCTGGAGCTCCTCCAGGTTCCTGGGGACCTCCAAACCCTCCCTGACCCTGGTGGCACCTCAGGAACTTCTCCAAGACCAACCCTGGAGCTCCTCCAGGTTCCTGGGGACCTCCAAACCCTCCCTGACCCTGGTGGCACCTCAGGAACTTCTCCAAGACCAACCCTGGAGCTCCTCCTGCCCCTCCTGGAGACCCCAGACCTCATTTTTGGGGCAGGAGCGCCCAAAATCCCAACCCCACGTCCCAGGTGACCTCCTGAAGATCCCGCGGGAATTTTGGGGCTTTTCCCCCAAATTTGGGATTTTTTAACTTTCGGGGAACTTTTTACCTTTTTTGACATATTTACCTTTTTTGGAATTTTTTCTCTTTTTTGACATTTATTACCTTTTTTGACATTTTTCCCTTTTTTGGCATTTTTTACCTTTTTTGACCTTTTTCCCCTTTCTGACATTTTTCCCTTTTTTGTTCTTTTTTCCCTTTTTTGTCATTTTTTACCTTTTCTGGCATTTTTACCTTGCGTGGATTTTTTTCCCTTTTTTGATGATTTTTCCCTTTTTCGACATTTTTACCTTTTTTGACCTTTTTCCCCTTTCTGACATTTTTATCTTTTTTGACATTTTTCCCTTTTTTGTCATTTTTTCCCCCTTTTTGTAATTTTTTACCTTTACTGACATTTTTCACTTTTTTTTTACTTTTTGCCTTTTATGACGTTTTTTTCCTTTTTTGGCATTTTTTACCTTTATTGACATTTTCACCTTTCATGGTTTTTTTCCCTTTTTTGTCATTTTTTCCCTTTTTCAGCATTTTTTCCCTTTATTGACATTTTTACCTTGTGTGTTTTTTTTTCCCTTTTTTTACGTTTTCCCCTTTTTTGTAGTTTTTTACCTTTTTTGGCCTCTTTTACCTTTTTCGACATATTTCCCTTTTTTGTCATTTTTTCCCTTTTTTGTCATTTTTTACCTTTATTGACATTTTCACCTTGCGTGGGTTTTTTTTCCCTTTTTTGACGTTTTTTCCCTTTTTTGCCATTCATTACCTTTTTTTGACATTTTGCCCTTTTTGTTCTTTTTTCCCTTTTTTGACGTTTTTTCCCTTTTTTGTCGTTTTTCACCTTTATTGACATATTCACCTTTCATGGTTTTTTTCCCCTTTTTGCCGATTTTTCCCATTTTTGCCGTTTTTTACCTTTTTTGGGGCCACGGGCGTTTTGGGCTCGGCCTTTTGGCGCTCCTTGTCCGTGGGGGGCGGGGCCTGCTCGGGGGGGCGGATCACGGGCCGGGGTCCCGCCCCCTCCAGGGGCTTCAGCTCCGGCCCTGAAACCAAAATTTGGGAATTCTGAACCCCAAAATTGGGCATTTACACCCCA